TACATTTTTGTAAATTAAGTTATTTGCTTAAAAAAATAATTTTAATTAAATTAGTAATTTTAAATTTCAACAAGACATAATAAATAGATAATAGCAAATAGGAATAAGTCAATATAACATTTAAAAGATTATTTTTATGTTTTTATATTATCATTTCAAATTTGAAAAAATGTATCTGCAATCTGCATGTATGCACTAGTATGAGTTCACAGCATTTTAAAGTTTCACTTATATTTTCAAGTATTTATCATAAGCTTTCCTAATTTTGAAATAATGTTAAATACAATATATTGATTTGAAAAAAGTATCAAAAAGTATAAATGGGTTGACCGTATTTCATGAAAAATATTCATTAGAATTAAGCCAATAATAGCTTCGTAAAACTGTTATCAACATTTTGACATAAGATTTTCGAACTTTTTTTAAAGACTAAGTTTCATTAATTCATGATAATGAATTCAAATTAATTGAGAATAATATTTATTTAAAAATAATATATAATATAGTATATTTAGTATACCTATAATAATAAGTACATTTTATTGATGAGCTTATAGTCAGCTTAGGCCAATTGAAACATTAGCTACCTACCTGAATAGTCTCAAGGAGACAACAGTATTGTCATCAGCATCGTTAGAGCGACACTTTAGAATAATATTGCAAATTAATATCTTAGAACATTTTATCGATCAAGTATAACGAGTAAGAAATATCTTATAGAATATGTGAATTAATTAAATTCGCGAACAATATTTTTTTTATAGTATATTTTTAATAGATTTCAATAGTCTATAATACGATATTAAATATATATATATATATATATATATATATACACGTTAGCACCTACATAAATAATTAAAATAATGAATATATATTTTTAAAAACATTGTGCTGCAGCTCTCGAGTATAAGATATAATAATTAATAAAAATGTAATCGATTAACAGATAAACTGCACGTCGTAATGCTGCCAAAGTAGTCTGGCTGTTGTGGAACACATTTAATATATTTCCAATGCCGTTTAAAGCTATGTATCTAACAATCAAATGGTGAAAATAGTTACAACCTAATCTGAATATTATACCAAGCGTGCGGAGCGTTGATGGCAGCCCGCCCAATTTAAACGCGTGTGTATGTCAAAAACCATAGTGGTAAACTGGCAAAACATTTTGTCTCAACGGTGAACATAATATTATAATGTACGAGTATACTATTATTGTAGGTATAGACGTATAGTGTATTTAGCATTTGCTTACGGCGCCACCCCACACGAGAATCGAAATACACCCAAATACAACTTGTTTAATAAAGTGAATTACACGTCTATGATAAACAACGCAGTACATGATACGACACAGTTGTCACGAATTAAACAGCAGTAGTAGGTACGCTCCGAATTCCGAAGTTCGAAATATAGATTGCTTTTTTACCCACACAAAATAATTATTCCTCGCACATACTATAATAACATTATCGTTCTTGTTTATATATAATATAATATTATTAGGTATGTTATCGAAATATCGAAAAAAATATGCTCTAGGCAATTATAGTTTTAAATGATCATTGCGAAAATTTATCATTCAAGGTTACATATAATATTGTAATATATTAAAACAACCGATAACGAAATTGTCTGCATTTATAAAAAATTAGTGTCTTCTCGTATACACATTTATAGTAATAATAAATTGTAAATGTACTTGTAATAGCACCTAATGTGCTGAAACATTTAAAAAATTAATTATAATCGACTTTTGTAAAGACTATTATTTTAAAACCGACACTACAGAGTGGTAGTGAATTAATTAGTAATATGTAATTGTTCGTGTAGGCAACCAACTTATACTAAAACGAATAATTATATAAATTTAATAATATTAAACATTCCAACAGGTGAATGCGCGCGCGGTCAATGTTCGACAGTTTATTGTTCTATTTTAATTGATTGCTTCTGTTGACTACATTACCGCTTTCATGCGTATGATAATCGCAGTCTTAGACCTAAATTACCTACCAATAAGCTTCTTTTTATATCGACTAGGACGCAACTTATAAAGACGCTAAATTGTGGTTGAATATACCTATTATATACTATTCTAAAAACGACGATTAGAAATTACAGTGATAAGTACAGCAATATTAAATATAAGACTAACAATTCTCAATATATCGAATACAAAATGATTGAAGGTCGTCTWTCAACCATGTTTTGGGGGTGCATAAAGGTTCATGGATATAACTCATAGAGTTAGGACCTTGATAATCTAAAAAAACACACAAAATGCCCTAAAAAAATGCGAAAATGCCCTAAAAACTTCAAAAAATGACCTTAAAAATTATCTAAATAACTAATTAAGAAAGTGAAAAAACGAATTTATAAATAATAATTTTTATTATAGATATGGGTGTGATAATGAGTGTAATAGTAATTTAAAATATGAATATAAGTAGATTAAGCATTTAAATAATTTATAAATAAATTTCAATATTAAAAATAAACATTTGCCCTAAAATCTATAATTTGAGAAAAATGCCTTACATTGTACAGAAAGTACAAAAATGTCCTAAAAGATGAAAAAATGACGTTAAAAAACAAAAAAATGCATTTATAGCTAAAAATGCAAAAAATGCAAAATAAAATTAGAATATGATGCATCAAGGGAGCATGAAACAAATTTTTAGCTATGATAGCATTGTATAGAATCAAAGGAAAAAAAATTCAAAAGTCATCAACATTCTAACTCTAGATATAAGCAATGCAAAAGGTTAGAAGTGAGCGCGTATTAAGGAAATTGTAATAACCTCTAACTTAACAGAACCTAACTCATTAGTTTAAAATTAATATATGTACCATTATACCTATTATTTTCATCCATTAAATTTTTATTTTTATTAATATTCTGTAAAATGTACTGTCATACTATCGAGCTTCGAGCCCTTCAAAAATTTTTACAATGAAGGTAATTTACAAAATTATTATTAAATAGAGTTGTTTAACAACCACAGACCACAGTTTCATATAATATATTGAAATAAAGCAATTAATTTACCTGTTCCGAGTCCGATAGTTATGTACAGAGTTACTAAACTATTGGCAAATACACTAGTCATCAAACAAATGCTCGCAAGTATGGCTCCCGCAATAGTCACCGCACGGCAACCGTATTTATTTACAAAAATACTGGCGATGGGCCCTGTAAAAAAATTCATAACATTGATATTTGATTGTAATCAACATTTTTAAACAAGAAATATTTCACAAGGTTAATTTATGCATCAATAAAAATTTTAAAAATATTAACCCATCACATGGTGTAATTTTAAATTCTTTAAACTAATAAAAAATAAACAATTTACTAAAATATACTTAAATATATAAACTTCTGCGTAAATTAATTTATATTCAATGTGCATTATTATTTTCTTAAAATCAAATAGGTTTAGGGATTAAAATGCATGGGCGATGTCACAAAAAAATAAAAACTGTAATTAAAAATTGTCAGATCAACTAAAAATTTGTTAGCATCATATTGTTAGATTATTATTATCGTTTGCGTTACTAAATAAATCATTATTTATTTTGCAGTTCACTACATCGTCACTATTGCTCTTATGAAGTCATACCATTTGTATAATGATCACAAATTTAGTACAGCAAATGCATAATATTCTGCATTTAGGTTTAGGTAGTAAATGACTTCAAAGAAATAACATGATACATTTATGCGACAAACGGTAAAGAAAAAATAATTTTATTGCATTGTCTCTCTACCCACGTGTTATACACTATACTCACACTTAAATAATCAAAAATATAATATGACATTTGTCCACTAAAACATGAATGTATTTAATAATTTTTATTGAAGAACTAGCAATCGTTATACGATAATGTCACTTCATAACTGATAATGTAAATACCTACCTAGTCATTACCCAGCTCACTGGTTTGAGGACAAAGATATAAAATAATATTAAATGCATGATTACGTGAATATTAATTACATGTAAAACAAACACAATATCTACCCTATACTATTTTAATAATACAATAAAATAATATTATTCTGAATCGTTCCCATTGAAAATTAACATATTTTTTAGTAGGGTGAAATGCGGCAGCGTATAACAACTTTCTAACCGAAAGAATTATAAATTACATTTATTTTTTTAATGTAACCAATATACACAATTTTATAAAATGTGTACAGGTTTCATCTTCGGAGAAAAATTTTTTTATGCTTCAAATATATTAATGTTTGATACACATCATAAATATACATATTTATAAAAAAGTAATTATTATTTTACATAACAAGTTTACACATTATAGATAATTATAGATTCTGAACGAAGTGATGAATGTATTGATTTTCCAATGATGTGTGTTTTTTATCAAACTTTGGGGGTGGTTTCCGATGTAAAAGTGAATATCCTTGGTGCATTATAAAGGTCAAAAGTAAACATTTTCCAAGGTTACATTTCATGTATCAATGGTAAATCGTTTTAATGTTACATCAAAAATCAAAATCGATTTTGTCGAAAACTGATAGTACGTAAAATTTCTTGTTTTTCCGTTAATTTTTAGTTTGTTTATCCCGATTATTTAGAAAAATATTAAGAATTTTTTACTTTTGATCCCCCAAAGTATCAACTAGATTCACTTTCTGATTTAACAAGGTACTGAAGTTAAAAGTC